CCACAGCGCCCGCTCCACCGCCGCTACCGCCATCAGCCATGCCTGCGCCCCGGGCCAGCGAAACAAACTCTGTACGGCTTTTTCTCCGAGGCTGAGGGCTTAGATTATGCAAAAGAGGCGGAAGCCCCCACAGAGGCAGCGATGGAGTTGCCGGTGGGGGCGGCGGCGGAGCAGGCCAAAGCAGTGGTGTAAGTGGGGGCGGCGGCGAGGACAGCGGCGGTGGTGGCGGCTGCCGAGGTGGTGGTAGAGGACGCCGACCTCTGCGTTCCCGGCCCGCGGCCGATGACGTCACAAAAGGCCTTTGCATTGTGGGATAGTTAGTTTTCTGCAACCATCTCCGGCGTTCTTATAGGCAGAGGCCTGTCCCACAGAAACTACAACTCCCAGCAAGCTTTGAGATCGCTCTGTGCGAGTTCGTGGGGGCAGCATGGGAATTGTAGGCTCTGGCCCCCGTGATAGGTGCAACTGCCTGGCGTTCCCAGCCAGGCATATCCCAGGAAAGCCTGATTATAAGACTCACTGCGAAGCTGACCAGATTAACAGATTTATTCATTAAAGATAGTTCAGTGTTTTGGGCTTGGGTGTCTGTGCTTTTGAGGTGAACTCCCCAGTCCTCTCTGAATAATATGATCTGGGAAATTTGGGAAACAGTGAACGAGTCATATTTCTTTTTAACAGTGTATCAAACCCCTTCTGATTTTAATAGCAATGAAACAGAAAAGTGTGAGGAAAAAAATAAGTCACAAGTATTACAAATATGGATTTTCTCCAGAATCGTAAATATTGTTATAATTACTACTAATAAACTAATATTGAATAACGAATGTACCAGGTGTTGTGATAATACATTTTAAACACTGCTTCACAACTATCTGAAAGCAGATACTATTTTTTTCAAATGCAGAGATGGAGGCTCAAGAGAGCGTGCTCACATGATGTACCTAGATGTGGAAGGCATTATCCAGAGTCATCTGATGATGCAATGGCCACTGGCAGAGCCGTTCTTTGCTGTTTCATGTTATCTTTCTGAACTGAGGAAAAGAGCCCTCAACTGATTGGCAACAGAAGGCTAAGAATTGAATCCTGATCTCTTGAATTCAAATCTTGCATGTTTAACCTAAGGTATACTACATCTTAAGAGCTTCCTGGCACTATACGATACATAAAACTTCATACCGTTTTTTATAGCCACACTTCACTATTGGAATCCCACAGGTGGAATCACCACTACCCACTCTTCCTTACTTCCTTTGGCCTGTTAGCTCTATTGTCACCAACTCTGGCAGTTATGCGTGCTGTTGTTAGTCTCTCATCTTACATGAGCATCAGAGGGGATGTAAATAATACATCCTGTAATATCCTTATTTTCTAGGAACATTTAGAATAGGTAGAGATTCAGAATGACCTCCGTTTCAACATTTCACACTGAAGATTTTAAATTAGCTCCCAAAATAAATATCAGATCATACTCTTTCAACAGGTTATTTTCAGTAGTTAATGACATTCTCTCTTAATAGTTTACCGACCATGGGATTACCAACATCTGTTACTACTAGTTGACCTCACACTGAATAGTCACCTTTAACCCCAAAAGAAGTGCAGATCAGGTTACCCCCAAACTCCCTCATCCTTCTTGACCAGCCTCCTCTCCATTTTTGAAATAACATATCTTCTCTAGCATCAGGGAAAGCTTTTCTAGCTAATCTGGTCTCCCTAATACAGACTTTTAGATGCTCATCGTTGTATCAATTATTATACTTGAAAGTTTTAATAGGCTAATGGCTACCTGTTTCTCCAGTAGGGTATAAACTTTAGGGCAGGAACTGTAACTTGTTCTGTGGGCAAATATTACCTACCTCAGATAGGGTCAGAGAGTGTATGGGTGAGGATTGTCTTAGAAAAAAAATATGTTGTAGCAAGAGATCTTGGATTAATCTGCCAGGACTTAATGGGTAATTTTAGATCCTGGAGGCTGACAGCAGATGGTTCACACTGGCAATCTCACTGTCTGTCATGGGACCCCCGTATTTTGATGGTAGATCTCTGAACATGAGATGCTATCTATAACCTTGACCTCGCTTTTGGAATTGATTATGGCATGGGCTGGAGGTGGGTGGAGAATGAGGAATAAAGGTGATCAGGATTAAGGAGATTCATTATAAATCTAAGCCTTGTAATAGGTCTTCACTACATTGAGAATGTGCTCTTCAACAGAGACATGTAATATAAACAATGGTCATCAGAGGGCACCATTGCTGTATTACTAATCCTGAACAGTAGGAAATGCAATGATTTAACTTTGGTCTAGGTAATAATCTCATTTTCAGGTATCCTTTTGATAACAAATCATTGTTGATTCTCAGTGCTAAAACTTATCTGTGACAAGCTTCTTGAGCCTGAAGAAATTACAAGTACTAGATGCCAGAAAATTTTATGTCAATGATTTTGTGAAAAGGTGGAATCTCACTAAACCCAAATTCAGAGATCACAGAAACTAGAGATCGATGGTTTGCCAAGGAAAACATAAAAAATAGACAAAGTGATGGGCTTTTTACATCAGATGGCACTGGATTGGACCCTAACTCCATCCTTTGTAAGTGATATGTCTTTGGGTAAGTTGCATCACCCCTCAGAGTAATACTTTCCCAGGATAGTGGAGATTAGGTGTACTCGTGACATTCCATTAGCTTAATATCAGCTTTTTACTAAATGTTGTATAACATATTACTGTCATGAATTTATGTTTGGTTAGGAGGTAATTTGATTGACCTCTAACTCCTCCAGTGGCCTCCACATTTTACAGAAGTAGGTATCAGTGAGTCTGCAACACTGAGTATAGTGACTGGTACATACAAGCTCTCCATAAATATATGATGGATGATTGAAGGAAAAAAAAAGTGAGTGAGTAGACTGGAAAACCTGTAAGACTTTGGACACTGCCCTGGACCAAATATCAGAATATAGCCAAAATTCAGGAAGATCAGGTCTGAGTGATCTGTCCACAGTGACTAACACCAAAGATACGAGGAGGGTCTGCCTGTGGGTTGCCTTGGTAACCGTATAACTTACTCATCTAGGATCCTGGTCCTTCAGCAGGAGCATTTCCGATCCCTAAGGGTCACTTTAAGTCTGGATTTAGATACCACATCTAATTAGACAGACTTGTTACTGATTGGTCCTTATTTCTCATGAGTAACTCTTTTTCTTCTTGCCTCTGTTTATCCAAGAAGCCTTGCCAGTTTCTAGGCTGGACAGATGTTCACTTCTTAATTACCAGTATCCTGCCTGTAGCATATTGGCTACATCTGTACCATCAGATCTTTGCTTCTTTCTTGTGTTTGTTTCCTTTTGATGTTTGCCAGCATCTCTAATGACTTGTTGAGCTCAAATACATAGTAAGAAAAGAGGGCTTCAATAAGCAGAAGTGCTCAGCCCCAATCAGCACTACTACTTCCTTTCTCACCAAGGCCATGTCTTGGACAAGATTTCAAGCTGCAGTATGTATAACACGCTGTCATTTCAAATTCTTAATACTAAAGGGTATCTCCTGGAGAGGTAACCTGATTTAAAATAAAAATGAAGAAACAGTGAGAAGTTTGAAATCTGATTTGAGTTTGGATCAGCTGTGTGACCTAAAGCAATCCACTAGACAGTCTGAGCCTTATTGTGTTTATCAATAAAATGGGGATGAGCATGCCTACCCTGCAGGGTTTTCATAAAAAAATAGAGATAATATATATGCAGAACCTGGCACACAATAGGCCTTCAGTAATTAATAGCTAGTAATTTGCCTTATACAATATTCCAGTGTATTCACTCACAGTCTTTTGTTGGGCAGAAATCTTAGATAATATGTATCTAGGATTAAAACTAATAATATATTAGTCGGATAGTTTTAATTACTGATGATTAAGAAACCATTCAGCCAATCTTGAAATGGATGGGCATAGTGAAGTCAAGTTCACAGCCAAGCTCTGTATGTATTGCTACTGAGGTCTAAATCCACTTTTATCTTTGTCTTTATGCTTCTAAAACAACTCATTCTTTAATAACATGCCTGATACCCTCAGTTACTTCTAGATGGCTACCTAACATCCATCACCTTTTTTAGTAAATATGATCCAGTTTTGTTTGGGGCTGCAGTAAGCCCTGCTAAAGTATATACTTCCTTGGATTTTCTCACCACTCGGGGTGATTACAGATCCCAGTTCTGGCCAAGGAAATTTAAGCAGAGGTTTTCTGGGATGGAAGCACCGCCCTTCTACCTGTAGCATCATCCCTTCTCCTTCCTGCATGGAAGTCCAGAAGCCACAGAGGATTGAGGCCTTTCAAACTGTGGCCAAAATAAAATTTTCCTCCTTTAAGTTTGTTACCTCTGGTATTTTGTCACAGCAACAGAAACCTTACTAACCAAACTCTACAGAACCAATCTCTAGAGGTATGTCACAGCCAGCTTCATTTGAAAACAAATTAGGGTTCGGATAATGGGCCAGGGTTGAGAACTGTTGGTACTCTGGGTAGAAGTTTCAGACTTCATCAACAGGCCAGAAAGGGTGGTTACTCTAAGCATGTAGCTTTGCAGCTTCTCTCCATTGTTTTTCTCAACTCCTCCTCTTATCCTTTTTGCTTATTTCCATCTAGCTTCTTCCACTTACAAATGGTTCCCTTTGCTGAAGATTCCCCTCAACATGAAGGGTGAGCTCTGTGAGTGTTGTCTGCTTGCTATTTTTGCATCTCTTGATTATTAAAAGAAGGGAGTTTCTTGAAACAGAGAGCTAATGCACGAAGAACTCAAAAAAATTAAACCACCTAAAATTAAAGACCCAGTCAAGAAATGGGCAAGAGAAATGAACAGATTTCACAGAGGAAGAAAAGCAAATAGTCAACAAATATATGAAAAACTGTTTAACGTATTTGGCCATTAGGGAATAGAAATGAAAACAATCTCGAGATTCATCTTATTCTGGAAAAATGGCAATCATCAAGAAATAAAACAACAAATTCTGGTGTGGCCATGGTGGAAAAGAACACTCATTGTTGGTGGGAATTAAACTAGTACAACCATTAAGGAAATCAATATGGTGATTTCTCAAGAAATAAAATTAGAAATTCCATATGATCCAGCTCTCCCCCTTCTAGGTATCTTCCTTAAGAGGTTAAGACATCATACTTCAGTAATACATGCATACCAATATTTATAGCAGCACAATTCATAATAACAAAATCCTGGAAGATATCTACATACACATCAACAGATGATTGGATAAAGAAAATATGATATTGATATATAATGGAATACTACTAAGC